TAATATTTTAAAAACAGAATTGTACTTTATATAAAATCTCAATTAAATATTCAATAAAGATAGAGGCATGGCCTCATCATTAACATTAAAAAAAAAAATTAAAACATGCAAGTTGGTTATATTAGTAAAATAACCAGATATTAGCAATTTTCCTACTAATGGATTTTTAGTTATTTTTGTGTAAAAAGAGTTTCTTTAATTTTTATAATAGTTCAGTATAGAAATATAATTTCTCTTAACAAAATATAATAACTTTTTATAATGATCTTTTTTTTCTAGAACCATCAGTTCATTATAGAAAAAGTTAATTTTATATAACTATTAATATTATTATATAATATACTATGCTAAAATCTACTTTGTAACATTTTTCTCTTTTTAAAAATTTTGTTTCACTAAATTCCTATAACTTTGTATCATATATAAAAGTCAATCAATTGATTAAACTTGGCTTTACTTATATTACTAATATGTTTTAGAATCAGTTTTTTTGTTTAATATATTTGTTTATAACTAATAGCTTTGAATAATTAATAGTTTCTAGTTTAGATCTTAATTTTACTTGCTTTTATTGACTTGTTATAATTCAGATTTTTTACTAATAGAGCTTCTAAATAATGACTATAGACTAAACAGTATATTCAGTTATAGTTAGAGGAACAGACAACTATCTAGTATATATTAGTAATCTTAATATAACAATTTTTCTATGTCAATATAATGATTATTGGTACCATTATAGAAAAAATCTGACTTGGTGTATTGTTAAGCAGATCTATTTTTATTTTTGTTAATAAATTATTATTATAGGTTGTTGGCAACATGTATATAAAAGTAGTACTATTTGCATCACAAATGATAATACTTGAATGTTATACTTGTTTACAAAGATTCTGTAATTCAAAAACTTTGTAATAGATTTGTAAAATAACCCATGTTAGTAGATTCTGTAGTAGGTTCATTGTTGTTAAGATTGTTAAAGATTTATTTAAAAAGTATAAAGAAAATTAATGTTAAAAGAAGGCATTTTTTTGGTCTTTTTATATTTGTTAAATTTTTCTTTGCAATCTATACCAAGCAATTTTTGATACAATAATTTGTAATTTGTTTAACTCATGCTGTCTCTTATTAATTTTATTTATCTCATGCTATTTTATGCTTAATAATAGCTAAATTTTGTTTAATATATGTTTCTTCTTGTATTTTATTCAAGGTTATATTGTTTACAATACATGTTAAATATTTTTTTGTTTAAAATTTAAGCAAAATTTGTATTACTACATGTTTAGTCTGTTTTATTTTTGTATTATTATAATGTTTTTGTGTTTTTTTCCTCTTAAAAAGTGAGGTTTTGAATCTTATTTGTCTAAAATTAGCAACTTTGTTCTGGTTGGTCTATCTATTTTCAAATTTAGCAATCACATTGTTTTTTGTTGTAATTGTTCTTTATTTGTTAATAGAATTTCAATTTTCTGTTGTATTTATTTTATTTTTTTTTTAAATATTAAGGTGAGTACTTGTGACCTAGAATTTTATTGATAGTACATTTAGCTAATAGTTGCATTACAACCATAAGGGGCAATCATGAAAAGAGTATACAACTAGCCACTTGTATAACTTTAGTTATTGTCTAATTTAAGTAGTCTGCCTGAAGGTTCTACACTAGCTGCCATACCTAAAACCTACTTGTAAGTTCTCTATTTAACCACTCTGTTCCTGTATCCACCCACCTACCTATATCTACCAAGATGCCCCAGTCAATACCAGTGCAAATATGCCATGGTCACTAAGTCTTTAAAGCAGTTTACTCATATGGGAAACCTTTGACCTTGTACTAAAACTTCTAGAATCTTCTGTATCCCATTCTTATAGCTGACCTGGTATCGCTATGGCCAAGACTAACACTGGCGGTCAGGGCATACTATTTAACCACTATGCCCTTGTAGAGTTCACCCCAACTCCAGTACTGACTTCACAACATATCCCTACTACTTTGGTATTCAATTCAAGTTCTACTAAGCTCCCAAACCAGATAGCTCAGAAAGGCAGATTGTAATTATACACTTTTGGTTTACATGTTTGCTGACATGTAACCTTTTCCTCCAGAATCTGGAAATTTCAGTAGCCTGGTTGGTTCCATTTGGTCCCTTCTCAAAGGCTGGCTCTTTGACTGGTTTCACAAGTTCTAGCTTCATTTCATAGATTTAGTCTTTAAAGTAGCACCATTAAAAGTTTGGGTTACCTCTCACTCGGGTCTTCCAAGTGGGCTTCTGTCCTCCTATCTGGTTCTTATGATTTAGACAGCCTAAAGACTTATCTTGGGTTCATACCACCCAGTACCGGTTTGTGTTTCTTTATACAATATTGTATGAATGTCTAGACCTTCCAGTTAGGCTGGTATAACATTGATTACAGGTATTCTATCTCAACCAATCACAGAAGACAGTTAGCTGTAACACAGAAAGAATTGCAAATTTTCGCTGTCACTGAAATTTGAACTTTAGACCTGCCACTTGGGGGTTGACAAGCTATCCACTTCACTAGGTCACCACACTCCCTGTTGTATTTATTTTTGTTATTTATTTTATCTAATTTTTTCTGTATTTTGGTTTATAAAACTTTTATCTTTTTTTTTTATTTCTACTAGTTTCTTTGTTAAAAAACCTTTTTTATCAATAAACTTGTCTTTTTATCTTTTGTTTTTCACTAAGATGTATATACTTTTTAGACTGTGACTTGTTTTGTCTAATATTAAAATACTTTAAAATAAAGCTAATCATCTATTTGGGTAAGCTAGACAAATAATCTGTTTTGGCTCAGTAAACAATTTTCCTTTTGTTATTTCTTTTTTTTTACTTGTAGTTAGGTGGTGACCAACACTTAACTGTTTTCAAAATTTTTTTTTATTGTTTTAATTATATTATTTAGAATATATATTTTAACTTTTTGCTTTATAAATGCCTTATTAAAGCAAAAATCAAGTAACTTCTATTTATTTGTTCTCTTTTCAAAATTAAGTTGCAAATTTGGAGGCTTAAGCAAATAAAAAGTTTTTACCAAATTTTAAAATAATTCAACAAGAATGGCAACAAAGCACTATTTACAAGTAAATAGTTACTAAAAAAATTTGCTATGAGTTTAGATTGCAAATTTAGAAGATAAGATTTAGGAACTGTAAAAAAGGTTAAGAAAAAGAAAGAACTGAAGATATTTTTGTAATATTTTGTAAATAAAAATAATAATAATAATAATAAAATTTTATATTAAATATAATTATTTTTTTTTAAATTTTTGTACTAAGTTTTTATAATTAATAGAATAATAATTAATAAAATAATAATAAGTAATAAGTAAATAAATAATATTTATAAAAAGTAATAATAAAATGTTAGGTTTTATGAAGCAAAGTTTTAATAATAACTTGTAATTCCCAGTTTCATCATTCATAATATCATTCTAAATAATTATTATTGTAATTTTATTATAGAATTTGTTCTTTGTTATTGCAAAGTTGATAAGCATTATTTTTTAACTTAGCATAGATTATAAATAGTTTAGTTCAGTTATTTTCAAACTTTGCAAAGCATAAAGCTTTTAGATTTTTTTGTTAGATCAAAACTTTATCTCTAACTTCAAATTCTTTTGTTTTTAGTTTTCTTATTATCTTTTTTTTTGTTTTTTTTGTAATACTTCTGTATTTCATTTAACTTGTTTTTATGCTTCTAGTAGTTTGTTTATTAAGTCAAAAGCTTATAACAGAATACTGTCTTCTAAGGTTATTTCTGCATTGGTTTCTTTTATCAGCAGAATTAATTCTATAAACAATACAGCTTGTCTTTCATAAGTTAGCTAAAAGGTATATATCTAGTAGTAGCATGCTTTTTAGTTTGATAAGCAAGCAGTATAGCAAAAAGATTTATATTACAATCTTCACTAATTCTTACTTTTGCTAATGATTCATACAATGTTCTGATGGCTACTCGAGATGAAGTTACAAGTAGCATTTTTTGTCACAATTATTGGTGCTATCTGTGCAGATTAGGTTATATATGCAACTCACAATTAATGACATTATGATTAGTAATGAGTAAATAGGTATTTATAGTATAGTGCTTTGTTTTTCTACTTATCTTTTAGCTTTGCTGTTCATTCAACTATTGGTAGTCTAGCTTATCAAAACTTACTATCATATCAATAGCTACTCCTTTAAACTAAATCTTTCAGAAAATACACATTTGCCTAAGTGTAACATGTTAGCATCTTAAACATAAGCCTTTACGAAGAGACAGTTAAAGGAAGTATAGACTTGTTTGAGTATGAGATGCAAGATAAATCAGTTCTAGCTGAAATGGAGTTTAGAAACAGTTTGAACAGACTGACTTTAGATACCCTAAGGGTACTTTGTTATGCAGAAGGCCTATCTAGTTTAGGGTCTAAGAAGAAGCTAGTAGAAAGGTTTGCATCTAGAACATTAAGCAAGATTAAAGGTAAAGTTGTAGAGATAAATAATGTTGGTTATTTAAATGAGGAACTTGATAGCCAAGTTGAAGAGAGTTTTAGAGCAGAAAATCGTAGAAAGGATTAGAATCATTTGGGCCAATCAGATACTTACTATAGTACAAGTGCAAGCAGGAATTATTATGAGTATCATATAATATTTTAGGCAACAATTTGGATAAGAAGAAGTTGACAGAAGAGAAGAGATATATGTTACTAGAAAGGTCTCTAGAAAAATCCTTACAAGCTATATTGTTAAAAGCATTAGAGAAGTTAAAGCAAAATCTGAATGGGATAGGAAATCAGGATGAGGATAGATTATGGCCAGAAGTTAAGATGAATAGGTTAAGAGATCAGTTTGAATATGATAAGTGGTGAAAAATTGCAAAGGAGTTGGATGATGTGTTATTGTTTAAGTCTATTGAGCCAGTTATGAGAGCCTATAAGATAGCTTACACATGTGCATATATTCTACAAGTAGTGAACAAGAAGGGCTAGAATATAGCTTTAGCTTTGAGTGATTTAGTAAATGATGATCTGATGAAGGCAGCTCTTAGAGAAAAACTGCTATTGGCAATACTTAATATTATATTAATAAAAAAAATTTAATAAAATAATAATAAAAAATTTAACTAATTCTATAACTTTTTCTATAAATTATTTGTATTAAATTTTTACAAAACACATTTAATTATTTATTAATATTTTACTAAGTAACCTTATTTGCATCTCCAAGTAAACTTGTTTAACTTACTTTTCTTCTTCTAGATAACTAAGTTTTAAGTTTTTACAATACTTGTCTATTGAGAAAAATTCCAAAAACTAAAGTTTTAGTTTTGCTTATTTGCTATATTTTACTAATTATATATATTTTGCTACTTATTAAAAAAATAATAAACTCTCTAAGCTAGTTATTTTAATATATATTTTATTGCAAATAAACTAAAACTTACTAAGATACTAACTAAAAGATAAAAATTCAAATCTATTTTTGCAGGTTTTTTTATTATTAAAGTTAGAAAATTCATTGAGTTGTCAAAGAAAATTTACTTTTTTAGTATTTATTAAAATTTTTTAATTATTTAATTAGTCTTTCTAAAGTTTTCATATTTCTTAGAAACTTTCTAACATATTTGCAAGCCTTTTAAATTAGAAAATTTTATTCAAAAACTAGATTACTTAATCTCATTTAAAAATTAGTTTATATTAGTACAAAGACAAAACTAAGATAATTATATAAAATACTTAACATTATTATTGAACTAAACTCTTTTGACATAGATGTTTTTTAATGCAAATATAATAGCCAAGCTATAGTTACTATAAACAAAAACTGTAAAGGCTTCAAATTCTTTCATCTAAATTCAACTCTACATTATATAATATCTATAATAGTTATTATTTCATTTTTATTCCATCTAACTTATTATTACAAGATGTTTTTGTGAAATATATTACATATACTTTGCTTTACAGCACATAATTTATTACTTATTACTGACACTACATCTATAATTACAACTAAGCTATTTAATTTAATGAAAATTAATTTTGATGCTAAACTTTATATAATATACCAAAATTATTTTTTTTATTCCAAACACAATATTGTTTATTTATTTTCTAACTGCTATAGCATTATTAAACAATATTTCACAACCAAATCTTTTTTCTTGTCTTTTCTTATTTGCAAAACCTAAGATGTATTCTGTATTATACTAATTTATAACAAACATTCATTAGATTCAAAAACTCTAATATTCTTTTTTTTTTTTTTTTTAACCTTAAGCAGTTATACTAGTACTTTATTAAGATTTTTAAAACTATATATATATACAATTACATAGAATTTTCTAATACCTAAGTTTAGCATCACTTGGCTACCTTTATGATATCTATGTGCAACCTGCTATACTATCTTAGTTAAAAATAGACTGCTCATCTAACTACTTAAAGCCATACCAGAAGGGCTTCTTTTCTTTTGTAACAAGCATATTAATTGTCTTTCAAGCTTCCTTCTTCATTTGATTTGCTTTTTTTATTTTTTATTTTTTTTTTCTTTTTTGTTTGTTTATTCTTTTTCTTTCTTTTATTTGTTTTTTCTCTTGCATAAGCACCTTGTTTTATCCTGTTTGTTATGTTGGTCTTCTTTTCTCAGTCTTGTATTTTTTCATATCAAACTCTTTATACTTGGTCATAAAAGATGTTCTATACTGTTTTCATTACTATATTAATACACTTCTGCATTGCCTGCTTGTTTAAGAGTTATTTGAGTTTTTTTTCTACTTTTATTTTCATAAGTCCCTTTATTAGCATTTTTCTGTTTATAATTTCTTTTGCTTCTGATTTTCCAAATAGCATTTTATATAAAACTTGTAATGAGATTCTGTTATTTTCTTCTTCTTTGAGCCTATTCTATGCTGTTATGTTGCAACTTTTTAAATTTAATTCTACAAACTTCTTTGTCTACTACAACTTGCTAGGTATGCTTGTGTTTCTTTCTTTTCAGCTTGGCATATCTGATATCTGCAGTTGTATATACTTCTGGCTTTCTTCTATTTAGCTTTTCAAGAATTGGCAGTCTGTTCATTATGCACTTAACTGCTATAGCTTTTCTTGTGCTGAGTTTTCTTGATGTGCAATGAACCTTTTTTGTTTTATTTATTTTTTTTCTAAAAACTTGTTCAATTATGTAATGTGTTTTCTGTTTCTGGTTCTAATATTTTTATTGAATTTGTTTTGCTCCAAATGGCTTTAATTCTGGCATTCACTATTTTTTACATAGAAGTCTTATTGGTATATTAATTTTCTTATTTTTCTACTCTAAATAGTACTCTATTCCATCACATTTGACTTTTTCTGTATAGATTATATTTTCACAAGTTGCTTTTTTTTTTGCAAGAAAGTCTGCTTTATTATTTCTCTTGTCTTCAATGTGACTTTTAACTTTAAATATTTCTACCTTTATGTTCTTATTTTTGATAAGACTACAATGTTCATTATTCAAATTACATTTTTCTCATTATAGTACTTCTATCTTTTATGTTTTGAATTGCTTTATTAATGTTTCTTAATGCTATGATGCTATCTGTATATATTTCTATACTCTTCCTTTCTGAAACTGTTAAAATTGCTATCCATATTGTTGATAGTTCTGCTATTGTTACTGAGAGCCATCTCTCAAGTTCAAATGCAGTTTTCTTCTCTGGCCAGTTTTTTTTATTACCTACTTGTACTCAGCCAATACCCATTCTATTTATATTGTTGTCTTTTCTCTTTTTGTATACTGCTCTATTGATATAGACTATATACTTTTCTTTGTCTCTTCTCTTGTTCCATATTAGGATTTCTGTTAGCTGGTTTGTAATTGTACTATTTAACTCTTGTTTCTTGATTAGTTCTATTTCTAATTCTTTTGCCAGTCTCAATTTTAGTAACTTTATTTTATCTTTTTTTCATTCTTTCATTCTTTTGTTTTTTAATAATTGTTTTAATATTGCATTTATCTTATTGTTTGTTTTTTTTATTAGTAAATCTGAAACCACTTTTATGTTTTGGTCTTGTCTTATTCATCTTTCACATTTGTCTGTTGCCTGTTTTGATTTGTTTTTATAACCTTTACATAAACTTATTTTTATATATGTTTTTCCTTCTTCTTTATGCATTAGCTAATGTTTTGCTAACATTTTATTTCTTTTTCTTAATTACTTTGCTGAATTGCTGATTGTGTTTTGGTCTATGTATGATCTATTCTTTTTTTCTTTGGTCTTCTAATATTTTTGTTCACTTAATCTTTAATACCTGTATGTTGTAGCTGTTTGTTTTGTAATAGTTTTGAATTTCTTTGCTTGCTTGTGTTTTTTACATTTTTTTTCTATTTTTGCTAAACCATTTGGGTTTTATTTCTTTGCATAATAGATCTTGAAGACTCTTAAGCTGTCTTTATATAATTAATTTGTCACTTTTTGTATCTAATAGCTAATTCATATATAATAATCTCTATTTATTTATTGTGTTGCTACTTGCTGTTCATGTTTTTGTTTATAGCATGTCTTTTATTTGTTTATTATGTCTATAAACTTTCTATAGCCATTTTGCTGCTTTGATGTTTATTTCTATTTCTTTTGCTTTAGTTATTGTTTAACATATTAGATTATTCTTTTAAAACTTTTTAGCTTCTAGTTTATTTCTGTTATATCAGATGTTTTTTGTTAGACCTGCTTTCTGGCATTCTTGAGCTATTCTAAGTCTTGTTAATTTACTCAAACTGTTTTGTTAATTAAGTTTTGAGAAGATACTACTAATTTGCTTAGTTGTTATTTTTTGGTTTAGTAATTTGCAATTGCCTAGGTCTTTATGTTCAATTATGCAATTACTTAATATTTTCATTATATTACATTTATTTTTTTTTTTTTAAATATTAAGTTGAGTACTTGTGACTCAGGATTTTATTGATAGTACATTTAGCTAATGGTTGTATTACAACTACAAAAGACAACTATAGAAAGAATGTACAACTAGCCATTTATACAACTTTAGTCATTGGCTAATTTAAGTAGTTCTTCCAAAGGTTCTACACTAGCTGCCATACCTAAAACCTGCTTGTAAGTTCCCTATTTAATCACTCTGTTCCCATATCCACCCACCTACCTACATCTATCAAGATGCCCTAGTCGGTACTGATGCAAATATGTTATAGTCACTAAGTCTTTAAAGCAGTTTACTCATATAGGGAACTTTTAACCTTGTACTAAACCTTCCAGAATCTTCTGTATGCTATTCTTACAGCTAACCTGGTATTGCTATAGCTGAGACCAATACTGGCAGTCAGGGTGTACCATTTAACCACTATGCCCTTGTAAAGTTTATTCCAATTCTAATACTGACTTTACAACATATCTCTACTACTTTAGTATTCAATTCAAGTTCTACCAAGCTTCCAAACCAGATAGCCTGAAAAGGCAGGTCATAACTATACACCTCTGATTTACATGTTTGCCAGCATGTAACCTTTTTTTCAGAACCCAGAAATTCTGGCGGTTTGGTTGGTTCCATTCGGGTTTTCTTCAAAGGCTAGCTTTTTATCCAGTTTCACAAGTTCTAGCTTCATTTCATAGGTCTAGTCTTTACAATAGCACTATCAAAAGTTTGGGTTACCTCTCTATTCAGGTCTTTCAAGTAGACTTCTGTCTTTCTATCTGGTTCTCATAATTTACATAGCCTAAGGACTTATCTTGGGTTTATACTACCCAGTACTAGGGATGGTAAATGACCTAAAATGACCCAAATGACCCATATGACCAATGACTAGTCATGAGTCATTTCAAAAGCCAAATGACCTTAGAAGGTTATTTAACATTTATTGATTAATAATCTAA